CTCCCCCTTCCAGCCAGACACATAAAGATCCCAAATCCCAAACTGCAGTTTTATTATTTTTTAATAAACTTTATTCTATATTACAAATAGGTTTTTTTTGTTCTGAACTGCAAAATAGGAATGCCTTATATTTACATACACAGGTATACAATTAATTATAACAAAGGTACAGAAGCTTGCCTTTACCAAGTTACAACTGGGCTCCAATTTAAATAGCATAGGTTTCCTTTTTAAAAACTTTTTTTTAAAATCTTTTTTTTTTTAATCTTACTAGGATACTCTTCTTTAAAAATCAAAACCAGAAGACCCCTTCCTCTAATAGATTTCATCCACCTATCTTTGAGGCTCATTATAACACTGTTGTCTAAAGATATGTTTTGCTTTGTTCTAACAAAGGGTCAGTGTTCAAGGTGGGAGCTTTATGGAAACTGAAGTGGGGCGCAGCGGGAAGGGGGTGACTGGAGCAGGAATGACCACCCTTCGGTGGCTTCTTTCTGGTGCTCAAAGGTCCCTGCCTGTTCTTTAAACCACCCATCCATCTTTCCTTTTCCTTCCCTTTCCTCTAGTGTTTGAGACTTCACTCTGGGTCATCTGACCAGGCCAAACTCCTCTCCCTCCACGCCTTGGCTCACTAAGCCACTGTCTGTTGCGGTACCCTGGAGTTGCTGGTTGCTATGGTAACATGGCAGGACCCTGATGGAAGAAATAGGCTGGTCTCTACAAGCTAAAGTGGGGAGGAGGGCAGCTGCATCCAATTCTTCCTTCCCATCTCAGGGCCTGGGGTTCTTGTTCTTGGTCAGCACAGCCAACATGTGACTAAGCCAGACCCTGGGCCTCAAGGACACCAGGCCCAGGCAGGCAGTGATGGAGAGGAGGGTCATCCACTCTAAAACACAAAGCCATTGGTTTCCAAATGGAAACAAGATTCTTTGAGGTAAACTAGCTTTTCTTTTTAAAGAACGGAAAGTTTAATGAGCCAACAAGCTGACGGGAATATTGGGGGAGGAAGAGGGAAGGAGAACATACGAGGACACTATCCCAACTCAGCCGTGTGCCTGAATTGCGCTCAATAGTCCTATTTGGTAAAGTGGTCTCAGTCTCTTAAGTGTCTTTTGCATTGCTCTTTAACTGTATGCCCTGTTTTGAATTCTACTTTTGTAAGGCAGCCCTTCCAAAATGTGCTTGCATCGTAAGAGCAAAGATACTAACAGAAGAAGTTCTAATTCCAGATAAAGAAACCGGTGGAAGATGAGCTGCATACACCTATTTGCCATGAACGTTTGCATTCTCGGGGAAGAGGACCTGGGTCCTTCCACGACCCATCCCTAACAGGCTCTCCCTGCAGTTTGGGGGAAGTTGACTGATGAGAACTGTGTAGGATTCGCCAACACCAGGGGCAGCCCGGAAAGCCAGGACTGGACAGCAGTAACAGAGGCGGAGGGGAGGGAAGGTGGGCTTGCCGACCAAGGACCCCCGGGCCCATGGCCCACCTCACTATCTCTGCCAATACAAACAGAAATCTATTTTTATTTATTAGGGATTTTGTTTTGTTTTGTTTTGTTTTGTTTTGCTTTGGGGTAGTCACTGGTCTACTCAAGAAATTTAATTGGGACTCTAATGAGTAGGTATTATTTTTATAAGCCAAAATCCTATATATTTTATAAAGTTGGATACTCCCCCTAATAAAACAAATAATTGTATTTGGGAGCAAAGATTTATAGTTACAAAAAAAATGGTCTCCCTTGAATGTCTGAAACTTTCACCGCAGAGCGGCCTTTCCGAACGGGAGGAAGGGTCCTTTAGTTTCGCAGTAGAGGGTCTCCTCCGAGCACCATGAGGAGAAGAGGCTCGGGGTGGGGCAGCCTCTCTCAGGAGAGGCCTCTTCAGCGTCCCTTGTGGCTGTACCTCAGCTTCCCACTCTGTGAAATAAGACTCTTGTTTGTTCCACCCGTGGGGGTGAGGTGATGGGAGGAGAAGGGAGCAGCATTGTGGGCTCCAGCCATCGAAGAGGCAGGGGAAGCACCAAGAATATTAGCAGCCATGGAGGATGCTTCCCCCGGCACGTCCACACCCGGGGAATACCCTCCTGCCACTGGCCCTGAGGGTCTCCTCATCCCCTTGGAAGTTACAGGTAAACCGCGTTGTTTCTCTCCTCCCCCCAGTAATTGGGACTTTACACCTGGGCTTCCTCCTTTATCTTGTACTCTTAAAATACACAAACAAAAGATAAACAACTGCAAATCCCAAATAAACACTCCACATACAGTATAAAGAAAAAGGGAGGGGCTGAGGGGTCGAGGCCCTCAGGAGCCCGTCCTATGAGCTGACAGGAAGAGGGAGGGGCTGAGAGGAGATCTTGGTGAGAATTGGGAGCAAGAAGAAAGGCTCAGAAGGAGTCAGATCTGCCTGGAGCAGGGTCCTCTCTGAGCGCTGGTGGAGACTGTGGTACCTGGAGGTTATACACTCACAGAAAGGCCTCTCAGAGGCCTCTGGGCTGGGACCGCTCACTGGGGTGGCCCATTCCTGAAGCGCTGTGGTCCAGGACCGAGAAAGGAGTGTCTACGGCCTTCTGCCTGCAGAGTGCCTCCGTGCGTCTCCCCTCCCTCCTGGGCTCGCTGTGAGGCAGGAAAGTTTGTCCTTGATTAGTAATGATCAACCTTAACATTCACTAGGTTAAGTATTTGACTTTGCATCCTGTAATGCCAAAAGAAGTGCCCCCTTAGTCCTGAGAAAGAAGACAGGTGAAAAATGAGGCTTTCCCTTTTAGGTCAAAGCAGGGGTTGCTAATCCCTGGACTCATCCCAGCATTGTTTAGGATTCTGGAAACATCAGCAGGACTCGGCTCTTAGAGGAGAGGTCATTTGGGAAATCATCACTTGTGGCTTCTCTTGTGGGACACCCACAGGGCCTTGGTTGGACCAGGGAGCCCTGACCGCTCATGGAGGCAGAATTGGGAGGGTGGGGGGCCCCAGGGCCGTCCCAGAGGGCAAGACTGTGAGGGCTGAGCTATCCACTGAGGGGCTAGGCAACTCCTGTACTGTAGTGGACACATGGCCTTGGGCCAGAGGCTGCACGCAGGAGGCGGGCAAGAGGGACAAGGGGGCACATGCCTCTGTGCTGGGGGAGGGGCAAACTCAGAAGCCAGACATGCAATGGGGACAAGAGAGGGAGGATCTGGGGGGAGTTGGGGTGGTGGGCACTGGGACAGGACACCGACATTAACTTTGGGCTGGGAGCTGAGAGCTGAGGCTGAGGGAGGAAGGTCAGAGACCTCACCTGTGGACAACTCACGCTTCTGCCTGGGCACAGTCCTGGCCAGTCTGCCTCAAACTTTGGGACCTGTTTAGGACGACTTCTCTCTCTCAAGCATCTTGGGCCCCACTCACCGACCCACAGGCTCACAAGAGGGAGGCTGTGGGGCTGCCTCTTGGTGTGCACGTCACTCTGGAGGTGTAAACATATCTTGGCCTGTGGGACATTCAGGTTATCCTCAGTCCCCAAATTTAAAACCACATTGAAAGAAGGCGAAAAAAAAAAAATTCCTGAGGAAGTAACGGACACAACAGCCAACTTCACTTACTGGCACCACTTGCAGTTACCAAGGAATGTCAGGGTCTCTCCTTACAAGGAAGGACAAAGAATGGAAAAGCACGTCCCTGGGGAGACTTGTGCCCAGCAGAAACGACCAGCCTACAGCTACCTTTCTCAGCTTCTATCTGTCCATTCTTTTAAATTCGGGACCCCCAAGCTCCCCACCTGCCCACCACCAACCGCCTTCAGCCCCTCTCCCTCCAACAGTCAAGCTCCCCACCCAACCCCGCTCAGTTATTCCAACTGCCTGATCTCCTGGTACCATTTTGGACCCTAGTGGTCTCAATGGGTGGAGGATGCAGGAGGTGAAAATGAAGGGGGAGGTGAGAGAAAGGGCCTCTTCTCCCCTGCTCTGCCCAGGACTCGACTCAAGGAATCAAATAAAGCTTCCACCTTAAACAGAACTGTGACCCTGCATGTTCACCGTGACAGAGGGAGGGGGAGGGGCCCTCCCTTCCACAGGACCCCGTCTGCCCCATTCCCTTCTCTGGTGCGTGCTGGCCCACATGTGGCCAGGGCAGCTCTCGGGGTCTCTCACCTGCCAGGAGGAGATGGCGGATGCCAAGGGGAGTTTTAGGAAGAAGATTTAGGGGAAAGAACAGCTTTTTGAAACTGCTGCCTTGTCTTTACTTTGAAATGCATCACACGTGCACCAACGATGTAAACGAAAAAAAAGGGAAAACAAACAAATAGCCAAAGGAAAGAATTTCTACAGGCAAGATGAGTCGTGGCTCAGCGTGACTGTGCTAGTTCTCTGTTCCCTAACAGGCCAGAGATAAAGTGCCAGCAACACCCAGCCACCGATTAAAGTCAGATGCCCTCCCCCGGGAGAACCGAGGAGAGCCAGGAGATGGTCGTCCTCTTTCTTCCTGACATTTATGATTCTCTGAGGTGTCTGAAGTTTCTCTTACAACAGAAACATGGAGAAAAAAAGTTCTGTACCGACAAAGGAACAATAACAAGAATAATAATGCGGTAAAAAAGAAAAGCTTCCGCAGAACTGTGATAACAGTCTTTTTTCTGCTTGTTCATCTTTTTCTCTAACTGTGCAAAACTTAAAAAATAAATCAAAACACACTCACTCATACACGCGCTCACACACATACATGCTCTTACACACACACACACATGCGCACACACAGAGCTTCCATTCAGCAAATCTGTGTTAAATATGTTTGTGTCTCTCTTCTCCCCAACCCTTCACATGTGCAAAAATATTTTAGTGGCGAGGAGTCAGCCCGCCTCCCGCACGCTCCTTCCTGGCCTACCAGGGCCTGTGGCTGCCTGGGAGGAAGTCAAATGCTCCAGGGTAGGAATTCCATGCTTCTTCACCTGGCACTTCATCTGCCAAAACCTTTGGTTATTTTCCCAACCCCGACATGCATATTTTCCCATTCTCTTCTTGTTGGTTAGGTTACTCGTGTTTTATTCACTGTTTGTCCTCCTTGATGCCACACGATGCCCTGCTCTGGGTCACCATCACCTGGCTTCCAGTCAAGTCCAGGCCTCCCTTGGCCAGTGACGACCCTGATTTCCTCCGGACAGGGGCCCTCTCCTTCCACCCATCCACACTCAGCATCAAAGGCAAGCACTGAATGTCCCAAAGCTGCAGGAGGAATGTTGAGCAAGGGTAGAGAAGGAAAACACGTCAACATCCCCCACACAGGACAAGAAATCTTTCTGGGCTCTCTGCCTACTCCTGGGGCAGACAGATACACATACATACAAGTGCGTGCGTGCACATAAGCTCACACACACGCACACATATTCATATCCAAAGGGACTAGCATTCAAAGTACAGGACGCTTCACAGACTTCGCTGGAAATGGTGTGACTCCCCCACTTTCCACGCAGGGCCCCTTTTGAGTGGATGGCAGGGAATGATGCCTGATGCTCAGGGGGTGAAGGCAACACCATGGAACCCTCATCCCCAACCCCACCTTAGACAATGCTTCTCCTTGTCTCCCACAGTGGTGTACAACTTGACACCAGGGCTGCCAGGAGACATTCTTGCTTATGGCAGGAGACTGGACCATAGGTGGAGACGGCATCTAAGTTCCCTTCAAGATTATAGGTTTCCATGGCCCTCCATTAGACCATCTCTCACCATAGCCCCTGCTCATCTAGGTAACCCACGTCTGAGCACACGTTTGCTTGGCTGGCTATAATGATGTATCCATAGACAGAAGGACTGATGGAAAAACAGATGCCAGGGCTGAGGTCAGTTGTGTGTCCCTCCTCCCATTTCCAGCCAGATCCTTCAGCTTGACTCTTCAGTCCCTCCCAGACATGACAAGCCAGGGGCTGAGTTTGGCTGGCCTTTTGGTTTGTCTCTGTGAGGCTGTGCTTGAGTGTGTTTCTTTCAATGATGACTTCTGCCAATGATGAAGAGATGAAGGAAGAGAGCGACTAAAGAGACAGCTGAGATGTTGATGAAATAATTCCCAAGGAGGTCTGGACAGTCCAGCTACAAAGTCATCTGCATAGCAATGGCACCAGATTCTGCAGGGGAGACAGGGGCTAGGCTGTGTGCCCCAGCCTTCTATAGAGTTCTCAGGCAGGATGGTGGGGAGGAAGCCATGAAGACAGCTGGAGGTAGAATCTCCCGGATGCACTCTGCATTTCACATTGACCCTTGATGAGCGATGACCAAGGAGGATGGAGGTGCTTTCTCTAGACAGCATCGAGGATCTGGCAATGGATTAGACCTATGACTATGGTCATGATTCATTTGCATTTGGGGATGAATGGAAAACAACAAATTCTGCTTCCAGGGTAGATGCAACTCTCTTTTCTTCCACCCCCTCCTTGTTGTACCTCTGCCACTACGAGCCAGATTATAAGGTTAGGAGCATCTCCATGGTGGAATGTAACTGCTATTCTTTTTCCTGTCTGGCTTTCCACAGGCAGGGGAGGAGATAGGCAGGCAGGTCCCTATGGGCACTTGAAGAGCCCCAAGAAGACTGGAAGGGGACAAGGAGGCCTCTGGAGGCCAACCCAACAAGTGAGAGGCAGCTTGCAGGGCACCTCCCAAATCCTCACAGGCACCCCCAACTCCAGCCACATGCAGGAGCTGTGGCCTTTCTTCTCACAGTTGCAAAGGGACCATACCACTGACTGACCCTTGGAGACGGAAATGTGGGGAGAGCCAGGTGATGTCTTCCCAGCAAAGATAATACTGAGCTCATTGCCTCTTCCCCAGCCAAGGCTTGGACCAATGTGGGGGCCCTCAAGAAGGGGAAGGGGAAGTAGCAGCATAGAAACATCCTCTATCCATGGCTCCTCATCCACGTTTGGGCCCTGCAGCGGATGCATGGGGTCATCTGGGAAAGAGATCCCCCTTGCTGTGGGCCTGGCCATCCTGGACTAACTGAGGGTTGGTGGCTTGGTTCAATTGTGTCGGCAGAGCAAGTGAAAGAGAAGGGATCCAGGAAGGAGGGAGAGACGGAAAAAGGCAGAGAGAGAGAGACAGCGCTGCTTAGGGGATGCTGCTGATGCCAGTCGGAACTTGCACTTGGTAAAGATGAAAATCTAGACTGAGGCACGGCTTGGTGTGTCCCTCCCTCCAGGGGGCCCTGGAAGGACGGTTCTCAGCTGTCTAAGCTCATGAGGGTTATGACTTGTTCTAGTTTGTAGGCCAGTTTCTGCTTCCCACACTGGTCGTCGTGGTCCAGAGGTCCGAGGATCTGTTGAAGGGCCAAAAAGAGGGCGGTTACTAGTTTGTGCATACATGTCTGTGTTCTTAAGGTACACGCAGACAAGGTGACGTAGTCAGAGGAGGAGTGCATGTGAAGATGCACACGTGAAGTTGCAAAGTAAGCAGGCATCCTGGGGAGCAGGGATGGGGAGATATGGGGGCACTGCGGCATGGCGTATGACTTGTGGGCACCCGTGCATCAATGAGCAATGAGCACAGGATGCCAGCACACACTGCAGTACGTCTGAATCAATGTGTACATTTTACTGCCCATGAAAGACAGCTGCCAGTGGGCAGAAACACCTGTGCAGAGATGCTACAGTTACCTGCAGGCTGAACAGCACAGTTCCACACCCAGTGCAAAGTGCACTGCTCAGTGTCTCGGGGGAATGTCACTTTGTGGATATCAAGAAATCCCATCCTCCTTCCAGAAAAGGAACATCTTCCCCATCAGCTCCCCAAAGCCCTAAATTCCACATTTAGAAAGTCATTTGGCTTCACTTTGCCTATTAAAAAGCAAATCCCCCTCGAAGAGTTATGTCTTAAGCTTTACTGGCTTTAACACCTGATGGATAATGTCTGCCAAAGCCTTTTCTGAGGTCAGAGGATTGCTGGAGGACAACGACAGGGAGCGACTGTGATGGAAAATGTGTTAGGATTTGACTCAGACTCAGGAGATGTGGGATTGAAGAATGGCTCCACTGGTCTCTAGCTGGGTGATCTGGGGCAAAACCTGCAACCTCTCTGAGCCCTTATCTCCTCATCTGTAGAACGTGGGAACTCCTAGTCCTGCTGTGGACAGCTCCAGCGGAGAGGAAAAGTCAAGTAACATACAGGAGTGCCTTTTGCACAACGCCTGCTCCGCGAGGGGCACGTGGCAAATGGGTGGGAGCTACTGGTGCTGGGGCCTCAGGGAGCAGGGCCTGCAAGGCGAGGGGGAGGGGAGAGGCTCCCAGAGCTTCGGATTTCTTGGCCCAATTAACGTGTTTTTAATTGGCGAGACCAAGATAGAGTTGCCAACGTCTTAGCTGGCCAAGAACTGCCAGTTACTGGCACCAATATTTCAAAGGATGGGACATTTTAACACTAACAGTAGACAAGCGTACTTAGACTAAGGTACAGTCCTTTCCAAGATGATGCAGTTGTCCTCAGACACTGGCACACTCTACATCGTCTTTACTTCTCTCAGGTGGCCACCAACAGGTGAAAACTTTGCTCTGGACCAGCACTGGCCCACAGGCTGACACCGGGGTCCCTCCCCTAAGGGACCCACTGCTGGCTTCCCCTTCACCTGAGGTTCACAGCACTGTGCTACTCATGGCCTGTGGGACACCAGGCCCCGGGCCCCGTTGGAGCTCCTAGCTTAACCTGAGGCTCCTGGGCCCTCTCTCGGTGACAAGGCTGGGAGGACCCAGGCACTGGCTTCAGCTCCTGTTACTACCTTCCATTCACAGAGAGGGTGCTTCTGCTTAGACACAGGGAGCATGGATTCTGAACCCACTTGGTCTAAGCCTGCATGACCAAGAACACTTATATCCTATAAGCACCTTGGTACTGGTCAGAAACTGCTACAATGTCTGCAGTGGCAATGACTCCAGGTGAGGTTTTCCAACAAGGGAACACGGTAACTAAAAATAGATTCCATTCTACTCTGTTCTGTATCTCTTCTGACTCCATTTCATTCCACTCTGCACCAGATGGCCTGCCCATGGGAGTGGGGAACTTCTCCTTTAAAGAGAATTAGATCAGAGGGAGAAATGGAAAAAATACAAGAGAGGGAATAGTGGGGAAGAAATAAAAATAAAAAAGTGAAAGAAACAGATACTTGATCTACATATCTGAGAAGAACAGGGATTAGTGCAGAATTTGGAGAATGGACCGTTTCTAGTGTCCCAGTCCAGGGAGCTCAGCCCCCAGGTCCTGGGTGGTAGCAAGTTTCCAGCAGAGGTGGGGTGTCTGGGGCGGTGCTCTTGTGCGTAGAGGCTACTGTGGGCAGGGGTTTCTCCGTCGCTGCCCCGTCCTTCCCAACAGGCCCAGAGCAGGGCAGGGCTCACCTCCTCGCTGTACTTGCCCACGTAGGAGAAAATCTCCGAGAGTGCGCTCATGGTGTTGAACTCATTCATGTGCATCCGGGACTGCTCAGCCAGATACGCGTTCATGTCCTGGTCACTGATGGCAGGCATCTTCCCGATGTCTGAGTAATACCTGCCAGGGGATGGAGTGGGGAGGAAAGGAGCTGGAGCCACGCATATGGAGTAGAGGAGAGATGGAAACTCCTCGTGGATGCCTGTGGGTGACCCTCTGGGAAGCATGGTGGGCTCTCTCCCCGAAGTGGGCTTCCGGGTCTGGCCCAGGAAGAGCCCCCTGCAGCTCTGGATGCAGGAGGCACAGAGGGAAGGGATTTGGGGAGTGGCCCAGACACTGTCAGAGAGTGGACAGAGGTGGGGCCAGGAGTAAGGATGGGTCGTCTCCTATATTGGCTTTGCTCGTAGCTACCGGCAAGAGTGGTCCAGTCTGTCTCTTGTGTACCTCTTACACCCCACCCCTCCGCCCATAGATGCAAGAGGTCCCCTCCACAGAGCCCGAGGGCTCTGCCCTGATGTCCTCTCCTCTCCAGGGGTTAAACGGGAGGAGGGCAGGGCTCGGGGCTGCTTGGGGAGAGAGGCTGGCAGAAGGCAATCAGTCACTGTCACTTGCAGCTGTGCACTGCTGTCAACTGGTTAATTAGATGCCAGCATTTACATTTTTAATTTCTGCAATTTGACATTTTATGCTGCAAACCCAAACTCCCCTGCCAGAGGGGAGTTGTGAAGTTTCCTAATGAGGAATGAAGGGCCCCGGTGCCCCAAAGACAGCCACCCCCACCCACTCCCTGGCGCTTGCTGGCTGTGAGTTACACCAAAGGCACCAGGAACGTGCAAAAGCAGGGAGGCATCAGGACAGCGGGGACCACACCTGGAGGCCTGGCGGCATCCCGGCTCAGCCAGCACTGAATGCCTGTGGCCTCAATGCTGGGAGAACAGGCCTGAGAACCTAGAACAGAGGAGGGTGGTGGAGACAGTCGCCAGGGCGGGGACTAGAGGGAGGCAGTTGAGGCACCTGGGGCACAAAGTTTCAGGAGTAGCACTCACTCTCTCCAGTGTAAGTGCAGGTGATGATGACCAGGTGAGTGTAGGGGGCATTCTCAGAGGCTCCAGTACCATCTCACCCTGGACCTTGGCCCTGTACCTCTCACTGCACCAGCCATGAATCCATCCGTCCTGTGTCCGTCCCCCATCTCCACCTCTGCCCATCAGTGCCCAGGAGTTGGGTGACAGGCTGGCAGAGGTGGCACTCATGTGCAACTCCAGCCATCATGCTCAAGGGCTGCAATGGAATGACAGTTCAATTTGCCACCACAGCATTCCCAGGCCTGCGAGGACTGGGCTGGCCACCACACTCTGAGCTGCAGCCGTGCTCGGACCTGTCCTGCCTCCAGTGTCATTTAGACTGCCCTTCTTTCCAAACTTCTTTCAGTGTGGGGTCCTCTACCCCCTGTCCCCATGTTCAGAGCCCTCAGGCCCTCAGTGCCTTGTCCCATTTCATTCTGCTTCTTCTGCTCCATCCCAGAACAGCCCACTCTGCTCCAGGCTCGCAACCCACCCCCAAACACAGCCTCAGGTTCCTCAGGGTTCTGGGTAAGGACATTCCAGGTAGGAAAGTTCCAGTGAGAGCCTCGATTCATTGCCACTATTTCTGGAAGGCAATAAATGCCAATGTTCCATTTTATAGCAGAGACCCAGGGACCTCAGCGGTGGCTCCCAACCTTGCCACTCCCAAGATGTGTGTCACTGTCCCCTCACAGATTCCGTGCCTACTGAGCATATATGTTTGGTAGGTCAAGGGTTACTTTCTCAGGTCACATTGGTGAGAAACAGGAACAGACATGCTTCCTCATTTCTGGTTCCTCAGACAGCAGCCAGAGGCAGCGCTGGTAGCACGGCTGGGTCCAGAGGCTCCTCCGGACAGTCACACTCTGTCACCCACAGATAGTCAGAGCGACTGACCAGGATGAGAAACCCAGGTTCCCACTGACGGGACACGACTCCTGCTGTTCGTGCTACCTGCCCACACTCCTTTCACAGGTCGACGGATGGAGCCACCAGGCCTTTTGCAAACAGCACCAGGACTCCGACTGCTGCCTTGAAGGTCCCTGAGGTGCGTGAGAGCTCCGGTGAGGGACCACCATCTCCACCGGAGACAGCAGATGTCCAGCACCCTGTCCCTTTGCAACGGCTTGCAAGGCACTAAAAGCCCAGTCCATTTCTCAAAAAAAAAAAAAATTTAGAAAGTACATCTGTCTATGTGTGTTAGAAAGGGAAGGGCCAGGGAGCAGGGTGGAGAGTGGAGTGGGAGAGGGCGGAGGTTTGAATCTCCTCACCTGATGGACTGGGTGGCAGCCCGCTTTGCATTATTCTCTCTAATGGTGAGGTCGGGTCTGCACTGAGCCCCTGTCTCTCCTCTGCTGCCTATGTGCAGAGGGTGCCGGATTGAACCCATGCAAGTCTGTGGCCACACGCTAGCCCGTAAGTGTATTTACCACATGTCCTCATCTTGGCAAGTTCTCAATCGCTGAACTGAGTTGCTGTGGACAGCGCACTGCCCTGGATGGGTGTGGGCCTTGGGGTCTGGCTGACATTCTTCTCTGTTCCTGTCCCCAGCCCTGCCTGGTGCTAAGCGGGCCCATCCTCCCTGCACGGCTTTGCTGCTGACCCTGCCTGGACCTCTCCTTGCTAATCCCCCAGGGCTCTGGCCAACCCCAACCCCTTGGCAGCACCCCTTGAGCCTGATAAAGAGCCTGCCCTGGCCTCTCTCAGCTGTGTGCACACATGCTTCCTTCTCAGTTCTCGCTGTGCTGGCCTTCGTGCTGGGCTCTGCCACTGAGAAGCCTGACTGATTGTGGGAACGCAATTACACCCCATTAAAGCACTTCCAACAAGTGTTCTTATCAGTTGGCTGTGCATGAGGAATGGAAAGGTCAGCTTGGGCTCCCGTACTTGAACTTGCTCTCTGGGATTTCTGCCTGCAAGCGAGCCCCTGCAGAAGGGACTGGTGCTCTGAAAGTGCCCCACAAAGCCCTCGAGCTGGCCTTGCTGAGGCCTGGCCCCTTGAGGAGGTCTGGGGTCCCCCACTGGCCTTACTCAGCTTTCTTTGCTGAGTTTCCTCATACCACATGGGACATCAGCACCCTTGTGGTCCTCACATCATTGCTCAGGGAGCTGCTATAAAGGAAAGGGCCCCAGAGAGCTGGATCCTTGGATGTCGACCAGTCTGCCGTGTTTCACGTCTGTGGGCTTCTATGGGCTGGGCTCAGGGTGTGATAGTGGGCATCTCATCTCTGCCATTTGGATGGCTCTAGTGATGGAGAAGGTGGTCTCCAATGCCCTGGACTCTGCAAGAAGAACAAACTGCTATCATCCCTCCCAACACCTCAAGGACAATGATGCAGAATTGAAACACATTTAAGCCTGATGGTCTGATGCCCCCAGATACTTGCCTTTCAAGGCCCTGCACAGAAATCTTTTCCTCTGTGATCATTCAGCGACCTCTCCAGGCCCAGCGGAATCAGGCCCTTACTCCCCAAGCTCCCCACCATGACAGCTCATGGGCCTGGCCTGCTGAGTGCCCGTCTGCACATCCTCCTTGACCACGAGAGCCACAAGAGAAAGATCGAGTCTAATACACCCCGAGCGTCCAATACACCCATGATGGATACCATAAACGTCTGGCCCCTGGATTAATGAATAAGTTAATGAAATGTCTATACTCCACGTCCAGTATTGCTCCCAGGGTGAATTGTCAAGGTTTTATATTTTGAATGGATGGTTTCCTTAGGAGGCGTATTTAAATATTTAAAATTCTTAACCTGTTTTAAGCTGTGACACATGTGATAGATGACATTCAAATGTGTGGCACGCCCCTAGTCAATTCCCAGGGGTCCAACTGTGACTCTGGTGCACTCACTCCTACATGGTGAGCCCATGTCTGCAGTTGAGTGATGCTGACATTGCCACGGGGATAACTGTGAAGCTCTTCCAATTTAAAATGAGAGGGAATCACTACCACACATGAACATTTTACTGCTATTGGTAATGAAATAGAAATTACAACTGATCATAACACACCAGTTCGTGGTGACAACACTGCTGAGTTCTGCTCTGTAAGATGAGTGTAGCAGTTGATTGTTGCTGGGAAACCAAGAGATTCTTCTCCCTTTATCCAGATGTGGCCACAAGCAAAAGCCCTAATACTTGGATGGAGGTAGAAAAGACTGGGTGTCTACAGTGGGGCCACAGATCACTAGAATTGCAAGGTGTTTCCAGGCAGGAAGGGGATGGAAGGATAGGTGGGAGGACAAGTGGGAGGAAAGAAGGGAGGACAGGAGGGAGGATGAGAGGGGAGGATGGGAGGGAGGGTGGGTGGGAGGATGAGAAGGAAGATGATTGGGAGGATGGATGGAGGATGGGAGGGAGGACGAGATGGGAGGACAGGTGGGAGGATGGGAGAGAGGATGCGTGGGAGGCTGGGTAGATGAACTTCTAGGAGATACAAGCCAGCATAGATGCTGATAGAATCATCTAGGCTGTTTAACCACCAGAGTTTGTGAGGCCTCCTGAGTGCACATGCTTCCCATGCCTTCTATACACAGGGCCAGCCACAGGGAACCCCATTCCTTAGCTGTACTGGGTCAGAGGGCCCCCTAAGTGTGTGGGGAGTGCATTCCACAGCAGTGAGTCACTAAGCCTGAGTCCTGCTTGGGGCATCTGCATGCTCACAGCAGTCAGGCAGCGAATTCAGAAGTGGGCATGAGCCCTGGCCACAAGAGGATGGCGTGCTACCCTCATTCTTCTGAACCAGGGCCTGCCAGTGCCCTCAGCAGGCTGAGGTGGGAGCTCAGCCCTGTGTGGATCCTGAGCCAGTTCTGTGCTGGTGGACTTCACTTTCCAGCAGCCAGACAAGCTGGGAGGCCAGCCTCCTTGGGGAAGGAGAGTAGAATTGGTCCATTTATTTCCAAGTGATGAAGTACTCGGGGCTTGATCCCCAGACCTGTCCATGCTGTTTCCTGATCCCTCTGTCTCTCTACCCTCATCCCAGGATGAGAGGAGAAAGAATTTGGGACCTCAAGCAAGTGAAACATGACTTTCCTGAGAGCGCCACTGGTTGCTAAGAAACTAGTGGGATAAGAAATGGAAACCATCAAACCACTCCTAAAAATAACCAAATGGGCTGGGGTTACCCATGACCTGTAGCAGCTGCATGGCACAAATCTCATTTAGCACCAAGTGAAAGGGAGACCATTAGCGTGGCGCATGCATTCCTCTCACCTCAGACTAACTGGCTGTGTTCTGGGGAAGTGTCCTCTATGCAGATGTTTCATAAGTGCTCCCAGCCCTTCCCATCCCCGCTCCCTTCCTCCCTGCCTCCCTGCCTGAGGTCCCATCACAGTGACACTGCATCAGAGCAGGGCTGGCCAAAAGCCCAGCTGCTGCCTCCTTCCTCTCGCTCTTTGCTGAAGAGCTGGCTGACCACACAGGAGGGCTTGCTCCTGACAGCTCTATGTCAGAAGAATGAGCCACTGTCCACGGAGAGGGAGGTGAGCGCCTCTCCTGGTGACTCAGACTTCATCCAGATACAAGGACGAAAGAGTTAGCTCTCTCTCTCTCTCACAGCGAAGGCTGCATGCCCACCACGTGGGTGAGCAGGAAGGGCAGGGGAGGGGATCAAAGAACAGAGGGGAGGGGGAACCAGAGTCCAACCCTTTAAGCAGAACTCTGTTACTGAGGTGGCCAAGGTTTCCTCTGTAAAGGGGAAGGCAATTTTCAAGTACAAGAATGGACACTATCTCTCTAACATGGGGAAAAGGATAGTTTGTTTTGCCTTCAGTCACCAAGTCAAGAACAATTTCTGGTCTCTATTACCCTTCAAAAAGGCACCAAATATGAGCTTCCATCTAGGTTTCCTATCTTTAATCTACTTGGAAAAAAGACAAAGGGACTCTAAAATCAGGACTGCCATGTAGAGTTGTGCAGGTTGTTCACTGCACAAAGGTGCTTGAATAAGAGGGTGAGCTGGGGCTGACAACTAGTCCATCACACAACAAACCATGCACCCTGGAGTGCGGCCACATCCTCCGGTAGGAAGGGGCACCTTCCTTAATTCACACAGAGGCATCTTCTGGGTTGCAAGAGGCCCTGTCTAAAAGTATCATCAGTGGTAGAAAAGAGATTTGGGAGTTAGCCGAGTTTGGGATCTTGTTTCATCTTGGCCACTGAAGTCATCTTGGGCTGACCACTTAGCCATTCTGTATGTATATTTCTTCACTTTCATGGGCACAAAATAAGGTTGTAAATCCTGTCTTCTTATGGTCAGGAGCTACTGCAAGGAACACATAAATAAGGCTTCAGCTGGTTGCTAGCTCAGGTGCTTAGCATACGGAGCTGATGCGGCCCAGACGGACCACGTATGTTCTTTACCTTGAGTTAGCTTTGCACTAAGATGGACCCAGCTCCACAGCTTGCAGGTGGCCCTCCAGTCACAGGTGCGCTGTGTGCAACTGTGATCACGCCAGGGCCACCGTGGCTGAGAAAGAACTGCAGGGCTCAGGGCATCAAGAGCTCATCATGCGAGAGTCGAGGGACTGAGACAGTGAGAAGCTGTTCAGAGTGACAAAGACATCCCCACAGGATGCTGGGAGATCTGCCAGATGGACAGGGCAGATGGGGAGAGGCCTCCAGCCTTTCTGTGGCAAGATGCTGTTTAGTCCCTTGAAGTCTTTTCTTTTTTTGATGGGGATTAGAGCAGGGAACTATCTTTCCTTCCTGGCCTAGAAAGTATTTCAGCCACTAAGATCTGGGCCTTCCATGCAGGGGAGCAGAGCATGGTGGCAGCTTCCAGCCAAGTTTCTCAGCACTTGTTTCAGCTGACAATACCAGTGGGACGTGGGGTGGGGGTGTTGCAATAGCAGGATCAGGGCTTGTGTTCGACCTGTCTGTAAGCGGCGGCCCATTCTGGAGGGGGAGGGCACCCCTAGTCAAGGGAAGTTGCTGGCTGCAGCAAGGGGCCCTTCCTCGGCAAGCAGGCCCAGCACTCACCTCTCCACCCAGTTCTTGTAGCTGGGGATGTCCTTGGCGTAGAGCAGCTTGTTGGAGGGGGAGTCCTTGCCCAGCCGGTGCTCTGACGTGGAGCAGGAGTCCATGAAGGTCTGGGCCACCACGGACAGGCAGGCGTCCGTGATGCTGTTCTTATGGATGTCAAACACAAACTGGGGGTTCTTGATCATGTTGACCCAAAACCGCAGCGGTAGGCTGTGTGGAGGGAAGCAGGAGATGGTCAGGGGAGATGGGGCGGGGGTGGGGGCACTGTAGCTTGACCCAAGCAGAAACAGCAAAAGCTGGGAACCAGCAGGTCTTAAGAGTTTTCTCGATGCCACCAAGTTACCTTCCAGGAAAGTGACTAGTCCATCCAGAGGTACGATGGTGACGAGCCCTGGAGAGGACCACAGGACTCACAACCTTCCCTGACAGCACAAGGCTTCGGGGTCAGAGGTGGCCATAATGGGTGCTATAAAGTGGAATTTCTGACTCTCTATTCCACTGTCTACCCACTATGTCGGACACAAGGCATATCCAGCTTGCAAACCTTAAAGAATAGCCTGGAATCTAGGTTTTGTGTCTTATTCTCTGCCATCCACTGTGTGGCTTGGGACAAGTCACCCGCTTCCTCCCGGCCTTGTAATATCGGCTAACTCCTGCATGGGGAGGCACTGCCACATTCATGGCCCCTCATCTACCCCATTGTGTTCCCTATTTCTCTTCCCTCATTCTTCCAGTTTTCACCCTTTGCATACCAGGGACTATGCTAGCGACTGGGGGTTCAGTGTGCATCAGGCACGTCATCTGCCCCCAAGAAGCTTGCATTCTGGTGGGTTCGTGGGGGAGTCAGATGTGCAATCAAGCACGTGCTCTGAGAACTATGGGTGCTGGAACTGAAGGATGTGCAGGTCCTGTATGGGAAAAGGGAGGTGTCATCAAATCTACTCAGACACAAGTGTCTGGAAAGTCTTCACAGAGGGGACACTTGACAGTCTGAGTGTTAAAGATACATAGGTGTCCCTCAGCTGGATGAGGCCTGGAGGAAGGTGCTGCTAAAGGAGATTCAGCATAAAAAAAGAGAAGAAAAAATGTGCCATGTGGTCTGGTAACTGTAAGCCACTCTATCTGTTGCTAGAAAAGGTCCTGGGGCATCAGGAGAAACCTGCCCGCCAGCCACTTTGGCTGTTCCTCTCTGCCAGCCTCCGACTCGTGGCTTCCATCCAGCAGGCTGAGACGACACAAGTGAGGGAGCAGGGTGGTCCCAAGCAAGGGTTCCCTTATTTTCCTCTGCTGGCCCCACCTCCTCGCCTTCTGCCACTTGCCCTGATGTTTCCCTGATGTCTGGTTGCTGTTCTCGCTGTTGGGAATAGTTATAACATTCGCATGTGTTTGACTTGCCTCTTAGAACTTAAACTGTTTGAATTACATTATTTCAATACAGTGAATACAATATTTCTATATTTGTTGTATCTCCCAGCTGCCAGTACTTACATACAACAAATGCTAAAATACACTAAGACCTCACGTTCAAGACTGCCAATCAATCAACAAGTAGTTATTAAATTCCTACAAAGTGTGCGGTGTAGGCTCAGGCAGGCAGCGCTGAGATGTGACAATGTGAAGTGGCCCTTGTCTCATCCTGGGAAATGGAGAACAGGAAACAAAGGGATGGCACGGAGAGTTGTGACACATAGGTGACAGTCGGGGTCACTGTCGGTGCCCAGGGGAGACCATGACAGCTGGGCTCGGAGCCCTGGATAAGGGACTCCCGGCTGCCCAGCTGATGGAGTCTCTGGTCCACATCCTCCTGTTCCCAGAAGTCCCCCCAGAAGATGGACTCGGGGAGTCCGTCTATGCTGCCTGTTATTTCTCCCCAGCACGCCCCCTCCTGAAGCCAGTCGTGCTGACAGGGAAACCAACAGGGAAGCGGGCACCACACCGAAGCTCCTGCCTAATGAAATATTAGCATATTATTAACATTGGAGGTGGCACTAATTTCTGGTTGATTGCAGCCACTCAGGCTAAATGAGCAGGAGGTGTATTTAAAAGAGAAAAGGTAGGAGAATGTAGTGGAAGGGGTGGGGAGAGGGTGAGTTACAACTCTGGCCAGGAATAAAGAAACTCTCTTTCCAAGCAGGGACAATTAGCTCGAAGTCAATATGCAGATCTCATAACTCCTGGACCAACCGCTTCTTGCCCGGCAGCAATCCGCCCTCACTCCTGGGACATTAAATCATCTGGGAGGTGGCCTCAGCTCAGCAGGAGGTGTGGGCTGAGTGCTTTAGATGCCGTTTCAGGAGATCTACTTGAATAGCCTGCAAGCCATGGAGGGATGTTTCGGAAATGCTGGCTCTCTGCAGCTGGGCCCAGGAGGCGACCTGGGCAGAGCATTTCTTGTATGCTGAAGGCTGCCGACCTTCAAATGGGGTGAAGTAGGAAGCTTCCTGGCAGAGAGAGGCAGATGGGGTAGGACACACCTCTCGGAACAGTGCTGCAGCCACGCCAGAGAGGCAGGGAGAATTAAACAGTCTTACCCAGAGGCAGGCACCGGGAGAGACCAGAGCTGGCGGGCCTTTCAGAGGAGGGAACAGGCTTCTCCCCGGGATGCTGCACTGACCGAGGGGTCCAGACTCTAAGAGTCTTATTTCAAAAAGGCTGGAAGAAGCCACTATGGAAGATCTTCTCTCACCAGGCATTAAACGCAGGAGTAAACCCTATTCTTCAGTTCTCTGGTCCAAACCTCTGCTCCTGCCTGATTTTCCCACTTTCAGTAGAGACAGCACCGTTCTTCAGGTGAGAGAGAGGAGCAGCAGAGCACCCCACATTTGGTAACATTTTAGTGCCGTGAAAACTCTTGCCTTCACCTGGGTTTCCATCTGGGGCTCCAGGCCGGCTGTCGGGTGCCCGGCTGTGCCCTGGTCCTCCCCAGTCCTAGCAGTTGGCCAGTGCTGGGCAGCAGGCTCGTGCTGCCTTGGAAGAATGTTCTGGGGAAGAATAACCCGGGATGGAGACCGTTTAAAAACTACAGGGAGGTAATTCTGGGACTGAGGGGAGGAAATATAAACCAGCTTTGCCTGTGGTGGGTCTTGGAGTAGAGACCATCGTGGCCCTGCATCTTCATCAATATTTATTGAGTCCCAGCCCAGTGCAAGGTTCCAGAGCGAGTGAGGAATACTGATGTCCGACCTTGCAGTCTCAACCTGAAGCACGAATCACACGCAAACAAAGGGACAGCGTCATATGCCTGGAAGGAGAGAGGGACCACAGGGGAGACACCTAGAGTGCCAGTGAGGACTCAGAGAATCCTCTGGTCTCAGAGACGCACATGGCAGTTATGGGAAGGTCTCTTCCCCAAAGGGAGGTTGGGAAGGGAAGACCATCACTTCTCGAACAGAACAGAAAGACCCCTTGTTCACCTGCATGACTCCTAGGTGAGTTTCTGAACTCCACTGAGAGTCACCGCTCAGTGGTGGCCCTCTACTGTCCCCCTGTGCACACACATCTTCCTTGTCTCTCCCCTGCTCTTGTCAGCCCCCTGAGGGCAGGGGCCATGTGTGACAGTCTCAGTACCCTCAGAGTCTAGCATAACATCAGGCACACAGAAGTCCCTGGATGTGACAGTGACCTGGCTGAGACATTTGGCATGTTCTCTTTTGCTCACTGAGTTGGTTAAATAAGTGTTTGTTAACTGGTGGATGGATTGACAAGAAAGAAGAACGATTTGACTAGGGGTGAGCGAGAGAGGAAATGGGCATAACATAGTAGGAGAGAGTGGGGGTGCCCAGGGAGAGCCTGCACCCAGCTCCTGCTGCGGGAGGTGGACCATGTCCCCCGCCGTGGCCTCAGGCTGGGCTCTCCACCGTCCTCTGCTCCGCCCCCACTCACCAGTTGCTCTTCCAGGTGTGGCGGACGTGCGGGTCGTGAATGCCATGTTTGTCGGCCTGCTCATCCAGGAAGTCAAACATGTACTTGATGGCCAGGGGCAGGGCGGAGCCACGGTGCGCCGTGCTGAAGATGGTCTCAAACAGGTCGTCCACGAACTTTTGCAGCGTGCCCTGGGGTGGCAAGACAATTCACACAAGGCTCGGCCCAGGGAGGTCTGAGGACGGGTTTTAAAATGTGCCCGGCCTGCTTGGTTGAAATCGGGAAGTGTGGGTATTAAATCTCGCCCCCCACCCTTCATCTGTCTCTAACAGCTTTAGATTTCTCTGCACGTGGAAAAATAGATATAACACTGATGACTGGACCTAAGTAAGCTTTCCTCTGCCAACAACACGGTTCGGTTTAACACCCTTTGGCGGTGTTATTTTAGCACTTTTCTCAAATGCTAATGAACAGCTCCTTCGGTCAGAGCCGACAAACACAATCTGCTGGTTTTGTTTGGGCCTTATTCACAGCGGCTCTGCAGAGAGCAGGGCGGAGGCCGGCCTCAGGAGTGAAGACTAACTTCCGGCCCCAGAAGTCCTCACACCCAGTGTTAGAATTGGAGCCTGGAAAGTCACGGATGGAGCCCCAATTTCTATCGTTAGAGACTGCATATGACACCCCAGAGAGGGAGTCATTTTTTCATTAGGCATGGAAGAAGAATGTAAATGGATGTGGTTAGTGTCTCTATATTTGAGAAAGGGCACAGAGAAGGGATGGAAACAAAACTTCAGGCTGCATGTCAGCAGGATGTAGGGTGGGTTTGCCGGGAGCACAGGGTTGAGAAGGAGTCTGAGCTTCCGTGTTGGGAAAGAACACTGGGGCTGATGAGCAGCGCCTGGCATGAGTGCATGATAGAGGGGGCACCAGCACAAATGCTGGGGATTTGCAAGCTCTGGCATTTCTGTGAGGCCATCAAGTCCCTTTTCATACCCCGCATATGCCCCACACCCTGTCTGAAGTCCGATACCTTAGTGGCCAGTAGTCGTGTCAGATAGATTTCAGACACCATCTTGCTCCCCCGGTCACCCTCCTTCTGGTCCCCATGCTCGTGGTTCTTCACCAGGTGCCACATCTTGACTCCGCTCTCCAGGTCGGGGGTGATCATGGGCGTGCGCGAGCGGAGGCTGTCGGGACTGCCCGTGTACCGGATCATGTTTTCTGCCAACGCAGTCACCCCAGGTGCGTGAGGACTCAGCCTTCCAGCTCCTCGCTCACACACCCCTGCTCCAGCCTGGGCCACATGCCCTCTGATCCTTCCTGCAATTTGCTGGCACTGTCACCTTGCCTCGGTTTAGTCCCCTCGGCTGGGGCGCCTTTCCCACCACCTCCGGGAAACTCTCTGGGGCTGATTCCACCCATTCGAATCCCCTTTCTGTTCATACTTGCATCTCACCAGCCCTTAATTATTCAATTTGTAAAAATATAAGCTTGGACTTTTGACACTTCTCCTTGTAAGAGTTCTCAAGCCGTGTCTCAGGATGTGTTCTGTGCAGCCAATTAAGTACAGACGAGACAGCAGGTAGCCTGTCTGCCTTCATGACTGTTGACCAGCTGAGTAACCGCCTCGTCACCTGCTCACCTTCATCCTCCCCGCTGGCCTGGGCCAGTTCTTTCCATTGCTTTGCTGAAATGTGAGGTGTGGTGACATGAGTGTTGAGTAGCAAGAGAAGATCAAGGTACTGTGTGGGGCCCCGTTCTGTGTGTCTTCTATCTATGATCCACTATAATCCTGAGAAGTGGTTAGTTTTTTCAATCCCTGTTTTGCTGGTCTAGAAACCAAGTGTCACAGCAGTCAGGCAGCTGGCCCCAAGGCACACAGATGGTGCCAGCACAGGGCTGTGCTCCTGCCCTCTGGGCTTCCAGCCGGCATCCAGTATCCTTCCCCCACCGCAGAGCCGGAGGCCCAGGTCTGTACCTTCCCTCCACTGCTTCCTAACGGTGTGACCTTTACATGTCGTTTAGCCTCTGTGCGTCTGAGTTATAATTTGCTAATCTGCATAATAGTGGGAAATAATAATTATTTAATTCACTGGATTGTTACGAACATGATGTGCGATAATGAGTATCACAAAAATGAAAGCATCTTCCGGCCTGGAAGACGCTCGTGATGGTTAGATTTTCTTCTTGTTCTCAGGGGCGAAGGTCTGGCTCCTGCATCAGAGCTCCTGCCTGGCACTGGCAGCCTCTGCCCCAGTCCGGCTCCCCTTTCTCATGGTCAGTCAGCCTACCTGACTCCCTCCACCTCCCTGCCCCGCCCAGGAGTCCACTGCCTTCCAGCTGTGCCGCCGTCATGGCAACAGATGTTCAGGATGAATCCCCTCCCCAGGACGATTGGATGGACTCACCATATTTACTCGCTGAGGTCCTGGAGACTGTGGAGTTGTTCACTGCATTATAGGCTGTCACCTGCTTAGACACTAACGCCACCACGGAACCATCTGGCACCTATGGGGAAAAGGTTTTTAAGGGCCTAGGCACAGAAACTCTGCCACCCCAGGAAACAAGGACAAACCAGGATTAAGTTGGTGCCCCATCAGGGAACGAGGGGACTTTGGAGGCTGTTGGCTTTCCTTTGACAAAACAAGACACATCTAACTAATGACTAGTATTCTATGTTGAGGCTCACTCTTGGAGCCACTCCGGGAAGAGCTCCTTGCTAGCACCCTCTATCCGATGCTTCCCCAGGATAGCACCCAGCCTTAAATGCCAGGGGCTCTTCTGAGAAAGGGCCTTTTCCTGGGAACTCTGCCCACACCCTGCAGGAATCACGCACATCACCATCCTGTCTCCAAGGAGGTCAAGGTTTCCTGGCTGGGGAACGTCAATTCTCCCTCGGTTGCTAAGGGAACATGAAGTGCTGGTGAAGAAGCGAATTTAGGGCTTGGTGTCTAGCGTCGAGGCCACCCTGTTGTCCAAGGACTGAGACTTCTGGAAAACCCAGTTAGCGAGCCCCTCCCCTCGTCCACATTCATCTCACCTGGTAATGGGCCAGGGTGTTCAGTCTCTTCCAGTCATTCTCTATCTTGGTGGTGATGTCTTCATCCTGCAGGATCATCCTCACCCCGCTTCCTTGTCGCCACTCTGTGGGGAGAGCAGTGGCACCTCAGAGAGGCCCTTGAGGACCTGAGGACTCTTGTGCAGGTACCAACATGGTACCATCTCAAGGGTCATCTGCAGACAGACAAGTGCTAGCAGCTGCTCCCCGGGGAGGGGTGCCGAGGGGCTCTCAGTGAAGAGGGGCCCAGAGTTTCAGTTCTGGTTCTCATCCCAACAAGCTATGCGACAGAAGTGGGGGTAACATCACCTATCCTCCCCTGCCCACCTGTTTGCTGTGAGTGGCCACATGTGCAAGAAGTAGATGCTCGGTAAATATGGCTGAATGGATGAGGCAGGCAAAAGCACTTAAGAAAGCATTGAGCACATGCAAGCTGGCACCATCATGCCCCACACTCGTTGACTTGCTTGTAAGGTCTGGGAGCTAATGAGACCAAGGCTGCAGGTTCAGTCACTGTGCACCCAGTTCCTGTTCCAGGGGTGTGTCCTGCACCCAAAAGCCAGCTGGTGGGTCACCCCTGGCAGGGAGGCTCGGTAAAAGTGTGTGGAGAGATGAGCAAAACCTATTCCTATGCCCAGGAATAGCCCATCAAAGTTGGCTGGTGTCCACCAACAAAGTTGATGTGGATAACAGCATCTTGATGATCTACCCAACACCTAATTACCTGATCCTGTGGGTGTACACTCACATCCCCCCGTTTTCTTCCTAGGCTCGGACACCTACAACACACAGGCTTGCTGATGGATCCCATATGAGGAAAGGGGAGACTGTTTCTCATCAGCCAAATCTCCATCACCACACATGGTACAAGTCACATGGAGATGGGGAAGTGCCCATTCCAGTCCTGAAACGTATGCACATGAGCCCCTGGTGTATGCCAGACACACACCAGCTCGCATGCATGTGCATGTTTACTGCCCCATGCAGACACCCTCACACGCACACACCAGAAAGGAAAAAGATCCTTTTAAACTCATAATGTGACATGTGTTCCAGCCAGGAATCTGGTTTCCAGGCAGCCACGACCCCACTCAATGCCTCACAGACGAACCGTGCAGGCACCCCGGGATCTGAAGCACGTGTTGGGTACTGGAATGAGTTACCTGGCAGTCCATGCCTGACCTGCCGTGGATTTTTCCTATGTCCCACAGAGATGCAGTTCAGATTCCCTTCCTCCCGTCCCCTCCTGTCAAGGCTGAACTGTGGGTTGACGACTGTCAACATCTGTGGCACAGAGAGCACTGATTCCTCCCTGCCTTGTGCTCTTGGCATGGCCAGTGCTATATATGAAAAACAGGCCCAGGGAGGGAGCTGCCTGCCCTTCGGAGGAGCAGAGATGCTCCCAAAATCCAAGGGCCTGCCTCCAGGTCCTGGGCTCGCCTGCTCCTGGCGTAGAGCTTCACATAGCATCGGCCATCCCAGGAATGAAAACACGAGGATGCTACATGTGCTCACTGGAGTGGGGGGGCCTCCATAGGCTCTGGGACCACCCATCACTTAGGGATGTGGATGGCAGGGCTGGGATTGGCCATGGCGACAGGGCCTCAAGGCATGCAGGGTGGTGGACAAAAGGGACAATGCCCCACAGAGGCACCTGGTTGGACTGTTTTGTTTATTGTTGTTGTGTTGTTTTGTTTGTTGTGTTGTTTTGTTATCTTTTTAATTTTACGTAAGTATGTATGGATGCATGTATTTTTGAGTGGCTGGGTGCAAAGAAGCAGAATATCGCCCAGCTGGTCAGGCAGCTGATATGCAGGGCAGTCCGACTCTGGTAAAGACCAGCCTGGGCCGGGGAATACGGCAGTGACATGCTTTCTCTCAGCCACATGGCAGGTCCTAAAAGACAAAGCCTCTTGGGTCTCCCCTGCTTGCGTGGGGAATGGTGCCAGGGTCACTGAGTCAGAGGCTGTGTGGGGCAGGGTGTAGTACAGAGGCAGCGGGGGCACAGAAGGCAGTCAGTGTTCTGCATTTCCCACATGGGGGCTGGAGGAGAGTGCTGGATACCAAGTCCACTGGCGGGGCCCAAGGGAGAAGGCAATCTCCTCCAGTGAAGTAGCCATGGGCTTGTCAGGACTAGATGGGGAAGGTACCAGGCACGGACCTGCTTTCTGGTTTAGCAGCCACACTGGTACCCCTTGCTGATGGAGTTGTAGCACAGTTCGGTGGGATGTGAACAAGTCACACAGCCTGGTGGATTGAGCAATGGCAGCTGGTGACTGATTCGAGAGCCTGATGTAGGACTTCCTTGTTGCACAGCTCCCTTGAAGTTGTGCCATGCACAGACTGTGCGGCCATACTCATCAGCCCTGGCTCTGAGTTAGGTCCAGTAACTATGAAAGCGAATGAAAATCAGTCTGTCTCTATGCTCCCAACTGAAAAAAGCAGGGCAGAGTATGGGCATGCTTCCCCCAGGGCAGTCAAGGAATGATGGCTTGTCCTTGGGAGCATAAAAACAATGCTTCTAGACACCACCAGCAGGGCTAGCCCAGCAGCTGGGACTTACTAAGTACTTGATGAGTATTTTTTAAAGGAATAATGAATAAGTGAACGAATGAATGAATGAAGGGGGAGAGTGAGTGAGTGAGTGAGTGACGGGGGCATATTTTCCCAGCAGCACAGAGGGTCTCCTACCTGGATGTTGGTGCTCCCCAGTAGGCGGAGAGCGAGATGCCATTAGAGGTGATCTATGAGCTACCCTGTCAGCAACCAAGGTTGATCTGAACTCCTCAGAAACACAACCAGGCACGTCCACTGCCAGAAGTGAAAGCTCTCTTAAATGATTACCACTCATTCTTCCAATTTTATGACCAGGAAATTAAAGAAACAGGTTGGAAGACAGACCTGGAGGTCATCACCTCCCGGCCTCTGCTCTTAAGACAATCGCAGGTGCTAACTGGTCTCCTCCTCTGGGCGGGGCACTGGACTGGAACCCGGAGCGGTGGCCACGCTGCGATGCTGCTGGGCAGCTGCTTCTGCTCAGCTTCATACTTTGAGCCCTAGGAATCTCAGAGGAACTGTTGCTGTCAGTTTCCCTGGGGCCACAGCACACACCTTTCCACAAAATCAAGTTGTGCTGATGAGCGGACACGGGCTGAGACTGGCGGGCAGTGACGACATGCAGGGGGCAGCAGGATGGTCAAGGGCAGGCAGGAAACACACTCTTCCCTAATGCCGATACTTGGTCCCAGGTTCAGGGATGGCAAAAATGGGCATCCTGATGTCCCAGCCCCCAAATCCCTCCAGCCCAGCCCCTGCTTCTGATGGGTACCAGCGGGCAGCTGGGAGGTGGCAACTGTTGTCTTTTGGGCAATTATCTCAAAAAGCTAGGAGTGTTCTCCCAAATACCAATATGAGCATAGTGTGCTGGAATCAAGCAGAACACTTAACCTTGCTTTTAGATCCCTCAGGCTTGTTACTTTTGTTACCTCTTATACAGAAAGAGGTGCTTTATTTCTGAAATATCAGACAGGTAAAAAAGTTAAATTCTCTGTCCCACCCCCAAATCAGTCCTGAGGAATGAAAGCCCAGAGAGGTGGGAGCCTGGTGTTGGCAGCTCCGTGCTGGGGCCCACAGGGAAGAAGCAGGCCAGGGCAGCCCACGCGGCCGACCCAGGATGGAAGACAGCGTGCCAGAGCTGCACGGGAAGGCAGGGCAGTCCCCACCACCGAATAATTCCAGGGGACTAATGAGAAAACCCATTCCTAAAACTCACTCTTCTCTGCCCAGGGTCCTCACTTTCCCTGTTGGTCTGAACCTGCTTCACTTATATGTTTACCTACCTTCCTTCCTGTCCTGGAACCCCTCACCCAGCCCCGCCACGGCCTCCACCTTCCCCAGACTCATCATGGAATGTCTCAAGAAAATCAAGGCAGCGGAGTGGGCTCGGCTCTCTGGAGCATCCCTGTGCTGCTTCATGATCTTCCCTCCAGAGGCGTGAGCGATGGAGCTCCACAGACTCAAGCCAGCACCAGGAAAGGCCGAGGTCAGAGGCCAAGGCACCTGGCTCCTTCCCTCCCCAGGAGTAATCCACCCCCAGCTGCGTGGCTGGCTTTGCAGAATCTCATCCCGACACAGCAGTGAAGAACCCAAGATGAGCTGGGCCAGTGGAGGGCGCTCAGGCCTGCCACCATCAGACCTGAGGGACAGCAGCCTGTCGCCTTGCAGTGTGCGCAGCCCATGAGGCCCCATATCTAATTTTGTGCTCTGTGTATTGTTGCATATTCACATATGCTTAATTTTAATAACAATAACGAAAATCAACAGGACCCAGGTCTCCTAATCCTGAGGACAGCATTCTCTTCACCAGAGAGACGCCTTCTGTCTTGCCCGGAAGAACAGCACTAAAAATATCTCTCTTTTGTGTCTTTTGCTATGTATGAGGTGACTCCATTAGAACAGCCAAGGGGCAATGTGATGGCTTGGCCAATGGCCAGCGTCCTCCAGGTGAAATGCCCAGCCTCCCAGACTGCGTTGCCTGCCCTTGGGGAAGAGTGAGAGATTGGAAACACCTCAAGGCACCAAATGATGTGAGGTGCCAAGCTTGGCGACAGCCGTGGTGAATCCTGAGACAGAGCAACGCCTCACAAGGCCGGCTCTGGACTAGGACATCTGCCGTCTCATCCGATCAGAGGCATCCCCTGCAGCCACCACATTGGAGTCCAGATCCAGACAGTCTTAGAGTTCCATCCTCACTCGCTCCTTCAAACACCGTTTCCCGAGCGCCCATGGTGTGCCAGGCACTGGGCCAGGATGACATTAGACAGAGTGAAATGAGGGAACGTAAGAAAACAAAGCCCCGGCCCTCGCAGGGCTCCCCATGTGGAGGGCTGTGTGGGAGAACCAAGGTCACGGGCCCTGTGATCAGGGCCGGATGGAGGCAGACAGAGGGAAGGGTCTGCGGCCATAGGAGGCTGCCGGGCTGAATACTGAAAGGCAAGGAAGTGTCTGTCCACCTGGCAAGGGGGATGGGTGTTCCGGACCAAAAGTGCCACTTACGTGCCCCTTCTAGGGACCCTGAGTCCTCGTG